ACAACAAACAGAGAGAGAGAGAGAGAGAGAGAGAGACCACCCTGGAATAGCCAATAACCTAATGGGTAGGGCACTCGTCTGGTCTGGAAGTGAATGGCTTTACCTGGGCATCAGGCAGCTTCAGCTCCAGGGGCCTCTTGCTTCTCAGCAGCTCCGGCCCCTTCCCCCCAAGCAGGGCCCCTGCATGCCTCCAATGCTGGGCAAACTGCACAGCGGATACTGCTGCTGGGGGAAGGCTCAGATTGCAGCCAGCTGGCTGCTCTGCTGCTGCAGGTCCCCTCTAGGAACGAGAGGGTAATTCATTCTCTATGCCCATTCAGTATTATTGCCAGTATTAAAAAATTCTTCTAGGAAAGGAAATCTTTCTAGTATATATTTTGTTATTATTTAGAATGTTTTATGTCTAACTGTGTTTATTTTAGCCTAATAAAATACACTTAGATGTTGTTCTTGTGCTGGAGAGGTATATTTTATTCTGGATTGGAGAATATATAATTAAAACCATTTCAACAAACTACTGCGTGGTAGGAGTCTGCCTTTACAAACCTTGGGTTCAAAGGCCCTTTGAAAAGGGAGAGGAGGGGAAGCCATGTAAATTGTGGGGGAGGGATTACACGATTCCTGCCACACAAGCTGAAAAACGTGCCTGCTACATCTTTGAATGGCCCTTCCCTCTTCTGAGTTGACATGATACAGTCGGAACGAAACACGTAATGAACCTTGCATTTCTTCAGCTGAAATGCATGTTCCCCCTTTGTCTGACCATCTTCCATGTCCAATGTAATAAGCAAACCAGCTGCATTGCCATTCTGAAAGGTAGTTGCCCAGGTTTTGCCTTTGGGCAGATATTTACTGCTACATCTGGCTTTGCTTTGCCATATTGTTAACCTCCCTTTTCCCTTCTACATTTGTTTTCTTTTTATTAAATTTCCCGTCTGAATCTTCAGCTCTGTATTTCTAATGTCAACAACTGCTTTTATCACAGATAATAACTTCCTTTTACAAAAAGCCTGTACCATCCTACATGCCTTTCAAATTACATTTTATGAACAAACATTGAAGTACAGTATTTGGCAGTGTGTATGATCATATATATTTATAGTAATCTAATTCTAAGGTACAGGAGCCAAGAACCAAGTTGGTTGCCATTTTCTTAATAATGCATTTACTTGACAATGTAGCTACTTCTCACTGGAGCTTAATTAAGTTCGTATTGTGATACTGTGATGTTTATGAAGTAAATTATGTAGTATGCTTAAGCATCTTGTAAAAACAATTATAAAAATATGAGCCATTCCTTGAGCGCTCCAGAGCTACTAAAATCTGAGATCATTAAAAAGGAGAAAATCTGTCGTTTGTCAGTAAACAGCTTGGAGAAAAGGGATGAGGAATGCTAAAGAGAGAGGAAAGATGGTAGAGTGGTTAATATGTAGGACTGGGGAGTCAGATCGGAATTCTACCCTGCTCCACCACAGACTTTGGGCAAGTCACTAAGGGTATGTCTACACTACAAAATTAGGTCGAATTTATAGAAGCCGGTTTTACAGAAATCGGTTTTATACAGTCGATTGTGTGTCCCCCCACATAAAATGCTCTAAGTGCATTAAGTCGGCGGACCGCATCCACAGTACCGAGGCTAGCATCAACTTCCAGAGCATTGCACTGTGGGTAGCTATCCCACAGTTCCCGCAGTCTCCGCCGCCCATTGGAATTCTGGATTGAGATCCCAATGCCTGATGATGCAAAAACAGTGTCGCGGGGGGTTCTGGGTACATGTCGTCAGGCCCCTCCCCCTCCATCAGAGCAACGGCAGACAATCGATTCACGCCTTTTTACCTGGGTTACCTGTGCAGACAACATACCACGGCAAGCATGGAGCCCGCTCAACTCAGCTCAGCTCACCATCACCATATGTCATCTGGATGCCGGCAGACGTGGTACTCCATTGCTACACAGCAGCAGCTAATTGCCTTTTGGCAGTAGATGGTGCAGTATGACTGGTAGCCGTCATCGGCTATCTGGGTGCTGGCAGACGTGGAGCTGCATTGCTACACAGCAGCAGCACCTTGCCTTTTGGCAGTGGATGGTGTATTACGATTGATATCCGTCATCATCATATTCCTCACTGAGTTCAATCAGAGGCACCTGGGCAGACATATTTTGTCTCCTGGAGACTCAGTCCTGCCGGCATTCCTATTGAACCGTCTTGACGATGATGGCTAGCAGTCGTAATACAGCATTTTCTGCCAAGCACCCAGAAGATGCCTACGGCTATCAGTCATGCTGCACCGTCTGCTGCCAGCTTAAGATGTAAAAAATAGATGGACCAGATTTGTTCTCTATTCATTTGCTTCCCCCTCCCTCCGTGAAATCAACGGCCTGCTTAACCCAGGGGTTTGAGTTCAATCTTTGGGGGGCCATTATGTGTGACAGTGGTTTGTGTTTCTCCCTGATGCACAGCCACCTTTGTTGATTTTAATTCCCTGTAAGACATGTCGTCACTCCCTCCCTCCGTCAGACAATAGTTTCGTGCCTTTTTTCAGCCCAGACGCCATAGCACTGGGATCATGGAGCCCACTCAGATCACCGCGGCAATTATGAGCACTATGAACACCACGCGCATTGTCCTGGAGTATACGCAGAGCCAGAAAATGCCAAAGCAAAACCAGGCGAGGAGGTGATTGCAGCGATTGCAGCGCGGCGATGAGAGTGATGAGGAAATTGACATGGACATAAACTTCTCATAAAGTACAGGCCCCAGCAATGTGCAAATCATGGTGTTACTGGGGCAGGTTCATGGCGTGGAACACCAATTCTGGGCCCAGGAAACAAGCACAGACTGGTGGGACCGCATCGTGTTGCAGGTGTGGGATGATTCCCAGTGGCTGCAAAACTTTCACATGCGTAAGGGCACTCTCATGGAACTTTGTGACTTGCTTTCCCCTGCCCTGAAGCGCCAGAATACCAAGATGAGAGCAGACCTCACAGTTGAGAAGCGAATGGCGATAGCCCTGTGGAAGCTTGCAACGCTAGACAGCTACCGGTCAGTCGGGAATCAATTTGGAGTGGGCAAATCTACTGTGGGGGCTGCTGTGATCCAAGTAGCCAACGCAATCAAAGACCTGCTGATATCAAGGGTAGTGACTCTGGGAAACGTGCAGGGCATAGTGGATAGCTTTGCTGCAATGCGATTCCCAAACTGTGGTGGGGTGATAGACGGAACCCATATCCCTATCTTGTCACTGGAGCACCAAGACACCGAGTACATAAACCACAAGGGGTACTTTTCAATGCTGCTGCAAGCCCTGGTGGATCACAAGGGACGTTTCACTAACATCAATGTGGGATGGCCAGGAAAGGTACATGATGCTCACGTCTTCAGGTCTGTTTCAAAAGCTGGAGGAAGGGACTTTCTTCCCAGACCAGAAAATAACCATTGGGGATGTTGAAATGCCTATCGTTATCCTTGGGGACCCAGCCTACCCCTTAATGCCATGGCTCATGAAGCTGTACACAGGCAGCCTGGACAGTAGTCAGGACCTGTTCAACTATAGGCTGAGCAAGTGCCGAATGGTGGTGGAATGTGCATTTGGACGTTTAAAAGCGCGCTGGTGCAGTTTACTGACTCAGATAGACCTCAGCGAAGCCAATATTCCAATTGTTATTGCTGCTTGCTGTGAGCTCCATAATATCTGTGAGAGTAAGGGGGAGACATTTATGGTGGGGTGGGAGATTGAGGCAAATCGCCTGGCCGCTGATTATGCGCAGCCAGACACCAGGGCAGTTAGAAGCGTACAGCAGGGCGCGGTGCGCATCAGAGAAGCTTTGAAAACGAGTTTTGTGACTGGCCAGGCTATGGTGTGAAACTTCTGTTTGTTTCTCCTTGATAAACCCTCCGCCCGCCCCCCCTCCCCCCCCCGGTTCACTCTACTTCCCTGTAAACTAACCACCCTCCCCTCCCCCCTTCGAGCACTGCTTGCAGAGGCAA